CACGGTTGCTGGCATCAGGCTTGGTTTTCACGTTTACGTCCACGTTTTTACTTTTACGTTTTTACACGTAAAAACGTAAATTTACAAAATGGCCTATTTTTACGGCTATTTTTACGTTCTTACGGCTCCCTGGCACACGTAGTTTACACGATGGAAGTTGCATACAATGATTAGTCCTCTGCCATCTCCATCACCCGGAGCACAATGTCCACCTCGCCTGTGGCAAGGGCGATAATGGCGTTTAGCAAAAACTCGTTTTCTGCCTCTTCCAAGGCGTCTGGCTGCCACTCTCCGGACTCTGTAAATCTATATGTACTGTCCTTATGTACACCAGGCAGTTTTTACGTTGTATTTACGTATTTTTACGCATTTTTACGCGTAGAAACGTAAAAACTATTTTTACGCGTAAAATGTTAATACGATCAGTTTTTACGGCGTAAAAACCAAGCCTGACTGGCATGGCTAGCGCTCATTTATGCTCATTAGAGTGCGGAAGTTTTCTACCCTTGCACTTATTGACACTGCCTCGTTTGCAGCGTTCGACCTCAGTGGCGAGTAGACGCATGGTTGCACTGTGGCAAAGCGCAATGCCTGAATCACGATCGCCCCAAGGTCGAACGCTTTGTTTCAGCAGTACGGAGTCCTTACGATATCATGGCAATGCTTGATCGTTGTACTGCCGCTGCTGATGATACACATCACGCAAGCAGTCACTGGTGTGTGTCCGCGTTGGTGCGTACCGTGATACCAAACGGAGGAATGCATAGAGGCAATCTGACGAGTTAGATGAATACTGATGTACCATTTTCTGCGCTACGTGACATGGAGTTTTGCATAATGAGAGTACTGTGGTTGCAAATGTTAAGCAACATATCAGTTCATGGTCAGTTCAATATCTTGCAACGCTTCACAACACAACGGCACAGTCAGTGAGCAAGGCAATCTCAGGCATCTCCGCGGGCAAGGCGCCAATTCGCAGCCGCGCTCCCGCCACCCCTCCAAGCATCCAACCTCCTCTGGGAGGCGCGCGATCCAAGGAAAGTACTGTAGAACAATAGACGCAGGCACTGTAGCATCTGCGGTATGGGAGGAGATGTTATTGGGCAACGATCAAAAGCGCTTGCCATTTGCTCGGCCAGGCTGCTCGTCCGGGCAATACAAGTCCGGCACCCAAAGGTCCTGGAGGTGCAGGCGCTGCGACAGGAACTGCCTGCCGGGCAAGTGCGTCGACTTCAAAAACTGCCAGAAATGCAAATCGGGATACGGCGCCAACGCAAAGGGAGAGTGCGTGAGGAGGTGCAGCTTCTTTAACAATGACGAAGTCATCGTGGATGGCGTCTGCAAATGCAACGAGGGCCTCACGAGGAACGACAAGGGCAAATGCGAGTGCCCCGCCAATCACGTTCTCTCCCGCAGGGGCAAGTGCACCCCCTGCGGCAAGGGGCAGGTTGTGAGGTACAACAAGTGCCAATGCGACTCGAGCAAGAAACTGAGGTGGCGGGACGACTCGTGCCAGTGCGCCAGGGGATACCACTGGGACGAGGCAGCCGACAATTGCGTGACATGCGGCTCCAACATGGAGTACAAAGACGGAAAGTGCGTGTGCGTGGAGGGAAAGGGCCTGGTGCTTTGGGAAGGGAAATGCAGGTGTCCCGAAGGAGCAAAGTGGTGGGGCAGGAAGTGTGTCTGCCCCAATGGACAGGAGCCTGTGGGGAAGAAATGCGTGGCGAAATGCCCTTCGGGACAGGTGACGCGCAACGAAGCTGCCCATGTGCATCAAGCCATGCGCGTTCGATGTTTGACACCGATGATGCTATGTGGTGGCTGTCATGCAGCTGCCGTGTGCGTGTTTTTCCGGCCGAGCGTTCCGAAGTCACTTGAACTCCGACCCCGATGCCGCAGCGACGGATCCCTGGCCCAGTCCGATCTCGCGGATTTCCTTTGCCCGCCTGAATTATTGCTTTCTGGCAAACATAACGAACAATGGCGCCCGTAAATGGCGGCCATGAGCTTCGCGAATTGTTCCAGTTTTCGCGTGTGGCACAGTGTTGATACAAGATTTTCAAATTTCAACACCATTCAAAGAAGTGTCTTTTTTGAGCAAAATGGACGTATTTCATGATGGCGAAGGATCGGAAGATCCACATGTGCGACGGTGACTAATGCGTGACATATTCAGTGCATTTAAATTTGGGAGCAGGGAACATACGTTGATGTGTTCTACAATGTGATTTTCTCCAGGAGCGCAATGATGCGGGGGCCTGCGAATGCAAAGACAAATCCCAAGAGATTGTGTGGATCGGAGGCAAATCCGTCTGCAAGCCCCCGTGCAGCGCAGTCGGTGACATGGTGAGGGGATGTGCGCATTCCACTTCTGCTGCCATTGCGTGACCAGCCGCTGCCAAGATATGATACACACAATGCTTCAGTAAATTATGCAAAAATTGCACTACAACCTACAGCCAAAAGTTTCCAACATTTGACGAGGATTTTTGGGAGATGAAGCTAATCAGGAGCAGGTGTTGTCACTGCTCGTGTTTGGCCTTGTTTGTTGAAATACACTCACCTGAAAGTAAATCAGAATCCTCAGGAAATCAGGTACTCACGTACATGTGTTGAGGGCATCCAAGACCTTGAATTGAGAGCTGCATGGCAAATAGAACATGATCTGGCGCAGAAAATCGATGCTGCCCCTGTGCTCAAAGTCGCTCCCCTTCCAACCCATAGATTGCGCACGTTCTGCAAATAGAATTATCAATTAATGCCCCTGAATTGATTGAGCTCAATGCGGCTGCCGTTTCTTATGAGGCTTGTAGCTGACATTGAATCTTCTGTCACGGTGGCGAAATATTTGGCAACATGAATTTCACTGCACCTTGCATCCCTTGTCAGCGTGCTAACGAGAGAGAGAGAGCACTCTTGCTACAAACTTTTTCGCAGGGCAACGCAGTCGTTAGATTTCCAATGTTGGTCATAGGTGTACGTAATTTGAAAATTTCATGTGATGAAATTGTCAATTGTTACAGACGGTGAGTTTCACGCCAGAAATCTTGGATCTTCCGATGCCGTATTATTTTCCGCAGCCGCCATGTACATTGAATGCTTGGTTCCATGCAAAACGCAACGGTTGTTTAAAGAATGCGACAGAAATTGATCCGCGTCCAATTTTCCGTGGCGGCAACTATAAGTTTCTTTCATCACCAGTTGCTGCAGTTGTGCATCTGCCAATGTTCAAAGCAATACAAACATCACCCGTGTGCAGAAGTACATTCGTTTGTTGCTGCCCATTTTAAGCGACACTTTGTAAGCCGCCAAGTAGCGAGCGCACTGGGCCCTCCTCGTGTGTTGAAATACGATTGTACGACACCAGTCCACACAGACACCGTTCAAACGTTTGCGAGTTCGTCACTAACAACAGAAACCAAAGTATTTTATTAACATAATGTGACTGACATTTAGTATTGACCATATACTGCACTTTCCAAAGCGATTGTTAGGCCCTTGATGTTGCTTTCCCACTTTAGAATACAACACTTTAGATTTAGAATACAACGTGCTCCGCACAATGACAGTTGCTACACTGGGATTGATTGGAGCCTACATGTGTTGAAACACGTCCAAATTTCCTGCTCCCTCTGTTCCGTGTTGATTCCCACAGCTTGTGAACCGTCGCACGCGCGAATTTAATTATAGGATATAATTAATAATAGTGGACAACACCTGAAAGACAAACAGGAGCAGCAAAACCCAGTGCCCTGTGCACTGAAGGAAAAGGACACGCTGCCCACTTTTTTCAATCCTCGGCGGGACCAAAAAAGGCCAATCGCCCCGGTCGCGCCTCTGGGGATTGCTGGGGGGTGACGACCCCCGGATGCGCGGCGGCCCTTTCTCCCTGCAAAACCCTGTCTACCCCGAATGGCTGGGTGGCGCTCATAGAGCGGGAGAACGCGTGCCAGGCGCGCTCCAAACTCGCCGACTGTGTCACCTGGCGGAGATCTCCTGTGCGGGCGTAAGGTTTGCCCCTTGTAGCCTCGCCGTCTAGCCTCGCCATCATCCCGGTTTCCGGTGCCTTTTGAAAACAGCCCTATTCAGACGCGATCCTGCCCGTTCAAGCGAAGGGGTGCGTCCGAAGGGGTGCGTCTACAGTGCGGGATTGAGCCAGTTCAGGGTGCATTCAATGCCAATCATTTTCCCGTGGTCGAGGTGGTCTGGTGCGCAGTTCGGCCCAATTCCGTTCGTCCACCTTGCGCACTGACACGCTGAAGCGCCCCCTGCACACTTTCTGGGCATCGGCACAATCCGAACGGCACCTCCCACCGCCAGTGGCTGCAGAGAAACCTTCGCGCGGCCCTGCTGCTTGGGCTGCGTCGCACTATTACGCAAACCGGGATCGGTGACAGGACGTTTTGCAACGTCCTCCAACAAAGTGACCCCGTGTCTCAAGTGCGCGCTTCAGCTCGTTGAGGAGCTTCTTAAGCCTCCTGCCGGTTCTGCTGCTGTGTTGGCGCCGGAACCGACCCGCTGACCTGCGATGCCGCGACAGGTTGCTGTTTGTACCAGTCGGTCACGTGACAGCAGGCGAGTTCGCCGATCAGGCCCCTCGGGGCTTGTGTCAAGGTTCCTTGCTGTTTCAAGAGGGGTGCGCGACGCCCCGGGCGCGGCGGGGTCGCAAGCCCCGCCGGCGCGTCTCAAACCCCTGCGCCCGTTCACCGATTTCACGACCGTAGTTTTCCTGGACCCTCGGCTTCGATTGCTGCGCTGGGCTGACCTCATGATCGAGAGGCGCTCGAATGTTCGCGGTGTTGAGGCATGCTCTTTCAACCTCTGCGCGCGTGTTGTTGACCTGTCGACGGGCGCACAGTCTGGAAGGATCACAAGTGCGTGCCAGCTGGGCTCAGTTGCGGGGCGGTGGCTGCAGATCTGGCGATGGGGCCAGCTGTGGCTGAACAACCAGACAGAATGTACAGAATGCAATTGCGATCACAGCTCGATTTGCCTCCATGCAACGCGAACGAACCGCCACCATAATGGTGCAGAACAATGAGTGTTCTAATGGTTTGCAGGTGCGAGACAAAAGGACCGGCGAGTGCGTGTGCAAGAACCCGGCATGGCAGCTGATTTGGCTCAACGGGAAGTCCACATGCAAGCCCCCCTGTGAAGAATCGTGGGGGCTGGTGAGATGAATTGGACACAGTCCTTTGCTTGCGGTTGTCAATTACAGTCGAGCCTTCCGGCCGCAGAGAAAACTGCACAATTGTGGGGAAATTATTGCAGCGAAATTGGTGGCACGCATATATCTTTGTGTTTCATGGCATGCATATTCCATTCATGGGGTGTTGCCTTCATTTGCCAATCGATGTCGCCACTCGTCAACGACTCAGCAGACTGAACGTAGGAATGCCTCCCATACAACGACAGATGAGTACTCCTTCCTTGGAGCAGGACCAGACCCGTTGTCCCTGTTGTGCAATGATGTCTAGTTGTACCAAGAAGCTAAGGTTATTCAATTATTAAAGCCTTCTTGATATTTCCTTCTTCTCTTAAAACCTCTCACCACGAACTCTTTCTGTGGTATTTCTGTGCTAGAATTTCAAACACTATGTAAACGTTGTGCATCATGTGCTGAATGGAAGCAAATCATGCAATCGTAACTGTAATTGTATTCATTCCAACAGCGTCTCTAATGCACTCCACCTGTTTGCAATAGGTCCGCGACTGGAAAACCGGAGGTTGTATATGCAGCGATCCTTCATGGAAGTTGATACAGCACAAGGGAAACTCAATCTGCAAACCACCCTGCCCAGCAGCATGGGGACTGGTAAGTGCCATGCCGTGTTTGTCTGATCCGATCGAGTGTCGCATAGCTCTCACTTGCTGCAGACGATCTCCAAAGCCATCAACCAAATGATGCAGGGTGCAGAATGGATTTGTGTGTTTCGGACTTTGAATCGCAGCTCCTGCGTTCGTTTGCAGGCCCGAGATCAAGACACGGGCGATTGCGTCTGCCAAGATCCATCTTGGAAGTTTATATGGGTAGATGGGAAGCGCATGTGTGCGACGCCTTGTGACGAGAAGCTGGGACTGGTGAGTGGGAAGTGCCAGAATTGCATGATGGCCTCAGGGTTGAGGCAAAAGACAAACAACCAAACCGTTGGGGGCATGCGCGCATGCAAATGCGCTGGCAGCAAGACATGTTCCTTGTAACTATTGGCTTGGGACAACAAAAATCCATGGCAGCAATCTCAAAAGGGAACTGGCACTCAGAATTCAGTTTCCAAGTGTCAATCTTACTTTGCAGTATTTCTGCAGCCTTGAGTACTGCAGTAATATTTGGTGAACATCACCCCAGAACTGGGGAATACAGACCAATCTTCTCCCTGATTATCAGCCCTTGTTACTTGCTGTCAATCTTGGCTGTGCAGCACGCAACCTCTTCTCTGTTGCACAAAGGCAAATACTCATATCTTGAATTTCCGAAATCCTACCCCACAAATTCTGCCATGTATTCTCAAGCAAGGAGCACACGAGTAATCGATGCGCAAATCATTATCTGAGTGAACCCTATTTGAGTGAATCCTTGTCTGTGGAATACCTCAGGCACACGACCCACGAACTGGAAAGTGCATATGCCAGAACCGTTTGTGGGAGCTGCTGTGGATTCAAGGCAAGCCAAAGTGCCAGCCTCCATGTGACAAATCCAGGGGACTGGTAAGCCAAGCGAAACAAGGGGTTGTATGGTGACGAAGTACATCAAATTTTCAATTCTCGATGTCAAGCAGGCTGCATTAATTTTTTTCTCTTTTGTGGCCTGGCTGAGCAATCCACTTATGCGGACTTCAGTTTCAGCAGCACCTAACATTGTGGCTATTGCCCTGGGGATTGTTCCTAGAGTTCGATATTGAGTGCCAGATTCCTGGTCAAGGAAACATCTCCTTGTTGGAGTGGCGTCAACTTTGACAATTGTGGGAAATGCACTGTGAGCATAGGAAGATGAGAAAAGGCACATGCAGCCTCAAATTGCACAAGTGGTTGCCCCCTTCCTGTTTCCACCCTCTTGACCATATTATGTTGAATTGACATTCTGTCACAAGTAACACCCACTGAGATCATGTGAAATTCAGGAAATAAAGCGAGTAAACCGCAACGGACTGAAACCTCAAATGGAAGGAAGAAACCACATGGCTGTGCAAGGGCCAACCTTGTTTCTCACCCAGCACAATTTCTGTCTGTTGAACTGTGCTGCGTCCATCTCAAGGTTTGCATCAGTGTCGAATCGCGTGGTAGTAACGGGAGCATATTGTGCTATTGTAGCCATGAGTTTGGACCATGTTTCGCCAGTGGAACAGTGCATCGTCTCAGCCTCACAGTCATTGCTTTCCCCCTTTTCTTCAGATTAGAGATGATGACTCAGGAGAATGCGAGTGCAGTGACGACACCTGGCAATTGATCTGGCTGGATGGACAGCAGGTCTGCAAGCCTCCATGCGATGCGAAGTGGGGACTGGTGAGCCATCCCAACCAACCTGTTATTCCAGTTGATGCCTGGTTGCAAGCAATCTGCAATAGTTGCATGAATGTGAACCACACAACTTTGAAGAGCAGCTAAACTTCCACGTTGCGATTGCAGCTCTGTTTCTTGGTTGTTATTGGTCCTTGTATGCTTTCAGCACCACAGTGTGTCCCATCCAGATTGCAGTTTTGCCTCCGTTTACACTCTGTATGCACAGCATACCTGGCACTGTCCCACTGGCCAGGTACTTTGCTGTTTTGTGTGTAAGTAAATTAGCCTGCTGCCTCTCACAGTGTGCATCTTGTTCAGACACTTTCCTTTGAAAGACAAAACATGTTAAGGCTGATGTAGAAATGATGCAAACAGCATAGTTAATATTGCACGATTTTGTTCCGCTTCAAACTGTTTTCCCTTGCCAGTGCACGACTTGTGTGACAGTGTTTAACAAGGACAGTTGGGAACCGTGTGCAGTGGGTAAGCTTTTGACAAGTGGAAACACCAGGTGCTGGCTCAGGGGTGTGTTGGTGTGGCCGACCTCATCCAGCTTACAAGGAACCCTGCTGATAGGTTGTGTCTTATTCTCAGAAATTCAGATTGCCCCTCGTGCACACTCCATTTCAGGCCCCGCCTTGATGTAAATCTTGGCTCAATCTGTTCATCATTCAGGTACGGAACAAGGGCACTGGCGAGTGCCAATGTAGCAACCCAACGTGGCAGCTTGTCTGGCTTGGTGGCCGCCAAATCTGCAAACCACCATGTGATGCAAAGTGGGGGCTGGTGAGTCAGTTCAAGTTCTACACAGTTTCGATCCTTTCCTTCCCCTGCTGTTGCACTGCTGAATATGTTGTGAAAGTAATAAAGTTGTCTGCATCAACTTGGCAATGTACTGATGTTAATTTTCACACATTGTTCACCATATTTCATTGATGCTGATGGCAGTTTTCGTTGCCACACATGACAGGATAAGTGCCTGTGCTGGTTTGTGTAGCCTCCAAATTGGGGTTTCTGTTGCTGACACTTAGCCTGGTAGGTAGTTGTTTGGGTTGCCTTTCTTGGCACACTTGCATCCATGCTTGAACATCGCCGTTGAAGGTTTGTGCATGTCGCACCATCTTCAATGATGGGAATGGAAGCAACCCAAGGGCAGGAGCGTGCGTATTCCACACTTTTGCAGTCCTCGATTAGCCATGTTAGATCATCCAAATTGCTTGGAGTGCTGCAGGCAAGGATCGAGTGGCCCAACTGCAACAAGGTTACTATTCATCCAATGTTATTGGTCCATGCGCATCAGTGATTTTGCTGGCGATTCAGGTGCGCGACAAGACCACTGGCGATTGCAAGTGCACAAACTCTGCTTGGGAGTTGCTGTGGATAGGGGGCCGCCAGGTCTGCAAGCCTCCATGCGATGCAAAGTGGGGATTGGTGAGTGCAACCTGTCTGTCATCAACAGTTCCAAGTCGTTTGCGAATGGCGATTAAAAGTGGATTTTGAGAGGGGCTGATCGAAGTTCTGAGCTCACTAGCAGCGAATTCTTGTTGTGTTGTGCTTGCCATGTTTGGTTTCAATGGCACTGTACTTCAAAGCTGCATGCACCAGCGCTGCAGCGGGAACCTGCAATTCCCTTATCGTCCATTTAGGAAAGCATCGTCATTGTTGCTGGCAATCTATCGCTGTTAAGTGTTGTACCAAGGACAGCGAGCACCTGGGGGTGTACTGCAGCAATTCCAACATATGACTTGCGCTTTCCAGCTGTCCTGATCTGCCATTCCAATGCCTGGCGCTCAGGTGCGGGACAAGGCCAGTGGAGAATGCAAATGCACAGATCCTGCCTGGCAGCTGCTCTCACTTCAGGGCCGCCAGATCTGCAAGCCTCCGTGTGACGCGAAGTGGGGACTGGTGAGTGCGTTAGGTATACTGCCTTTCCATGTTTTTCACCTACAGGCAAAATCTCCGTTGCTAGCAAATGCCAAGAAAGGGGGGAGGAGCCGACACGATGGGCAGATGGAATGAACCATTGGTATCGCATCTGTGTCGTCCGGTACTTGCCACAGGTGTCCTTGTGTCATTTATTCTCAATGCAGCTTGCACTGCTGATGCACTGTTTTGTCAGTTTTGCACGATTCAAGTGTGGAATCAAATTGTGAATAATGGCCATATTTGGGCGGTGTCTGACACTCGTATCGTCCCACACCTATTCATGCACTCATCTGTTGCCTCAGTACATGGGCAGTGCAAGGGGATGCACGTTATTCTCCACCACGGCAGTTGCCAGAGCTTTGTTGCATTGTGCGCAGGTGCGCGACAAAGCCACTGGAGATTGCAAGTGCAGCAGTCCCACATGGGAGCTGATACGGATCAAAGGCAACCCCATCTGCAAGCCTCCATGCAAAGCGGCATGGGGAGAGGTGAGTGCAGGGTGCCATGCTGCAACACAAGATTTTAGACTTTGCCATGCAGCAGCTGGAAGTAAGGGCACTGCTTAACAATGGTGTCAGAAGCTCAGCGGAGACAACACGGGTCACTCTATTTGCTAACACGCTTTAACATGCTAATACAAGAATTTCAGCGAATTAATTCGATTTAGGAATGTAAATGAAGATGTGTGAAATGGTTGATTTTTTGTGCTGGTGGCCAGGGCGATGGAGAGATGGGGCCAAAGGGCTGTCTCAGAAGGAAAATGGTGTCCATATCATGGATTGTGGCCGATTTAGATCAATTGGGCAGGTTCCACTGCAGATCTGCTGAATGCATGGTCTTTTTGCTGAATGGCTAACTCAAGATGAAACGCCATTTTACCGCAGCCAGCATTGGCTTGTGGGCATGCATATGTTCCAAGTTTCGCCTTGCTGGGCCAGCACCATGCATTGCTACATGTTACTACAAAGGGTGATGCAGGATCACAGCCAGATGAGGGGGGATAACACTCCTTGTGAAAACGTTTGCAGGTGCGAGATTGGACAACGGGAGAATGTGTGGATGGGTCAGATTCCTCTGGATCTGAAGAAAGTGAAGGAGATGGATCATCCGAGAGCGAAGACTGTGGGTGGCTTAACACACCCTGCTGCGCTGGGAAAAAATGTGACAACGGTCTTATATGCAAGCTGCAGCACGGCAGGCACAAGTGCGCGTGCTCCGGATCACTGGCAGAAGTTCGTGCATACTGTGCATTTTGTACCCTTCCCTAGACGGGATCGAGTTGCTAGTATCTCGGCATCAGCCAGTCAGTCATGCGCTAAGATGGTACCACATCGTGCTTTCCCAATTGTCTGTTAGCCAGCGTAGCACCAAGGAGGGCGTTGCTGCTTCTGCTCGATGGCAATGCAATGTGTGTCGAATTGCTGTGGGACCTGCTGTTGGTGCATTTTTTATGTGGTTTTGCTGCGTGCTGTGCCAAGGTCGATGGGGATACCATGCCTTTTGGTTGTATTCTCTGAAACACATTTCGCAGCCGTCAAACCTTGTTGCACGTTTGTGAGAGGTGGGTGTCCTGATGCCTGAGCCGCACCCATCACGATTTCGTATCTCTTGAGTGCTGCAGGTGTGTCAAAGATATTGGTTTACCTGAAACCAAATGCCCAGAGGGACAATATCTCAACAGACTGCGGAGATGCATGGCGTGCGACCCCAACTGTGACAAGGGCTCTGGGTCGTGCCAAGATTTCAAGGGGTGCACATTGTGCAAGGAGGGACATAAGGCAGATGCCTGGGGAAAGTGCCAAGTGGAATGCCCCGATGGCCAATATCTGCTGTCTGGAAAGTGTGTCCCGAAAGGCGACTGCGGAATAGCGAAATACAAGCATGGTAGTGAAAGCTCCTGGACGTGCAAGACCTGTGACCGACGCTGCCTTCCTGGGCAGTGCGTAGACTACAAGAACTGCCAGAAATGCTCGGAAGGATATGGGGCTACACCAAAGGGAAACTGTGTCCGAAGATGCAACTTTTTTGGATCTGAGGAGATTGTTGACGGCGTCTGCGAATGCAAAAATGAACTTGTCAGGAATGATCAGGGCAAATGTGAATGCCCTGCTAATCATGTTCAGAAATGGGGAAAATGCACCCCTTGCGGTGAAGGACAAGTTGTGAAAAACAACAAGTGCCAATGTGACACAAGCAAAAACCTAGTTTGGAAGAATGGCAAGTGCCAATGCCTCTGGGGGCATCACTGGGATGCTGCAACTGGCAGTTGCATCAAATGCGGACCTTCAATGGAGTTTCGTGATGGTAAATGCCAATGCCAGGAAGGCAAGGGTCTTGTGTTGTGGGAGGGAAGGTGCAAGTGTCCCAGTGGTTCGAAATGGCAGGGAAGAAAATGCGTCTGTCCGGATAGGCAGGAGCCCTGGGGGACAAAATGCGTGCCTAAATGCCCTCCTCCTCAGGTAAGTGGGAACGTTGCTGGATGTAAAAGCTACTGTGTTGTATCAATGTGCTGCATAGCACAATCTTGTTTGGTTTTCGCGGAATCTCGAACGGCAAGTTGTGGTGTTAGATGCTGTCTTTATGGCATCGTAGATGCTGTGGATCTGATTCTGCAACAGGAAGCATTCACATATTCGAACAAAATAATATGCTGAATGACAGCAAAAGCACTTTTCAGGGCATAAGAAGGCAATTGCACATTCACGTCCACAGCCACGTGGATTGCTGATGTTGCGTTCTGTCAATTTGTTCGATTTTCTCCACCCGGGGTACATGTGTACTTGTGCTCTCTGATGACTTGGCGGTCAGGGTATTTGCCGAGTATTATCAGACCATGTGTAGGGCCTGCACTGTAGGCTCCTAGAACCTTGACGCTCTCTGACGAGTTGAGTTCAATAGGGACACGTGACATAACAATGTGTCGTGTTTTCACGTTGCCTTTAAGGACACACGCATTCTTTCATTCCGCCTGGGGAATCTCAGCGGAACCCCAAAGGATGGCAAGAGTATTTATGAGCTTGTCGTACTCTTTCGCCGTTGCGTGGGTCCCTCTATGGGATGGCTCTCAGCTCACCACGCTCGAGGCGTCTAGCACGTAAGGTGCGTTTTCTTCGTCTCTGCTCTGCAGTTGCGCGATGCCGCAACTGGCAAATGCCTTTGCCAAGAGACTTCATACGAGCTAGTCTGGATAGACGGCAAGTCCCACTGTAAACCTCCATGCAACAACGAGGCCGGACTGGTAAGAGAAGCGCACCCTGTCTACTTCCCTTCTCCCAGGCAGAAGGCGTGTGCAAATGCCGTTCCACCCGTTGTGGCGGCCATGGCCAAAATGGAACGAATTCCCTGTTGATTGCCGATGAGATTCTCCATACCGGTGCCCCAGTCATATTTTCTGGAAGTGACTCCCTCGCAATATTTTCACAACGCATAAAATCTACGCCAACACTCATTGCTTACCAGTGCATGTGATCATTTGTCATTGTTGTGCCATACTATGTTTTTGTTGTATAGGGGTTGTCAATCGTTCTTGAGTCTTGGGTGGGATCACTGAAAGTATCTGAATGGTACATTTGCATCGCCGAATTTAAGCTTTGTAAAAACTTTTTTGAATTCCAGAAGCGCGATTATGAAACAGGACATTGCGTGGACTGGGAAGCAGGGGCCCACCTTTGGGGGGGAGGGGCCGCCAGTGGCCATGTTATATGCAGTAACTCAGATTTACGGGTCCGCATGCACTGCATGTTTGTCAAGATTCACAAATCCCAAGGTAGGGCAGGAAGTCATTGGAATATGCTCCGCATACATTGTTGACGGATTGCATTTCTTGTACAACAGGTGCGCCATCAAACCTCCGGCAAATGTGTTTGCCAGAATCCCTTACACGAGATGGTGACTATTGACGGCCAGACGGTTTGCAAAACCCCCTGCGACTATGAGGCCGGACTGGTGCGGCAAAGCGCGTGGCATTTCCCATTGTGCTAGAATAGCAACTCAACGGCTTTCAAAAGACATACTCCTAGTGGGAGTTTTGCTGCGAGGCTGCTGGAGGGTCCCGTTCTTCCATCTGGCTGTTAAGCGTAATTTTCACCATAGAGCATGGACCCTCGGCAATTTGGACCTCACGCGACGTGTGTCTCTGCGCGCCAGGTGCATCACGCCTCCACCGGGACGTGTGTGTGCAAAGACGAATATCTCAAGCTGGTGTGGATAAACGGCAAGCCGCAGTGCAAGCCACCTTGTGCGCACGAAGCCGGACTGGTAGGTCCACCCATCTGAAGTTCACACACCGTGTTGAAGCGGCGGGTTTCTGCGTTGATATTTCACACAGGCTTCTTACCCACCTTTGGAATGCAATGCCCCCCCTTTGGTACGACCTCCGTGTGACCACCGCAGGCCCAAGGGGCCCTGATTTCCCTGAGCCGAGTCCCGAAGTCCCTGAATGAGAGATTGCACGCTTTTTTTGCGCCTCGCCAACCCGCAATAGGCAGCATGTCGAAAGGCTTGTGAAAGCCCTTCACGTGTCTGGAGATCTGTCTGTACGGCCTCCAATTCTAACACTTTGGTGCATTGGGGCCCCGCGCCCCTCAGGTACACGGCCCGGATGGCAAGTGCAAATGCAAGGACCCCGAGGCGGTAGAGAAGAAGGACTCTTACGGCTTGGTCATCGCTTGTCATCCCAAGTGCGACCATGGATTGGTGAGTTGTTGGGGCCCAAGGGATGGAGCGGCGGTGTGCGACTATGGGCTGTTGGAGGCGCGATGTTGAATTTTCCATGTATCCCCCGTCCATGCGTTCATGTGTTTGACGGCTTGGCACTGAAAGGCCTTGTTGGCACAATAGCCACGTTGGGAAACTTGAGTTGGTTGGCCCCTTGGAGCACGTTTCCCAGACAAATGTGCGTCTTCCGTCCACACCCATGGCCATAAGTCGGCCACGGCCGCGTTTGGCTGTTTCCATTTTAGTGCTGGTTTTGATGTGGGATGGTGCCCGTCTGGACTGGTGCCCATTCGGGCGCTCCACCTCAACGGTGGTGGCTGAGAGGCCGAGCATGGAGATGCAACATGGCAATCAGATTCGTCGGCCCTTGGGCCCGCTTGTGCG